GTGTACAGGGAGATGCTAGTCCATGCTGACGAAGCTATCAAGGAAAAAGTTGAGTTACAGAGCAAAAAGGTAATTTTCTATCAAGATAATGCAAGACCACATGTGTCTACATTCACTGGCTGTACTCTGTATGGACTCCAATTAATCTTTTCCCACACCCACCATATAGCCCCGACAATGCTTCTTCGGACTTCTACTTTTTTTCATATCTGCAGCTACATCTTGCTGGTGGTTCATTCTGCACAGGATGCCCGAAATGAGGCTGACCTGCGTTTGGACTCATGGCCACTAAGTTTCTGGGCCGAAGGCTTTGAAAACTACCAAAATGTTGGCAGAAAATCATACATTTTGATGATGATTACTACCCAAACTAAAGGTACTGCTTTTTTTTTTTTTTTTTTTTTTTAATGAGGTTATTCTGTTTTTGGACTTGCAGCCACCAATTTTCTGGGCCGAAGGCTTTACAAAACTACCAAATTGCATCCGTTGGCAGATCCCACATATCCATCATAACTGCAGGCTGAAAATCATAGATTTTTTTGGGGGGGGGGAAGATTACTAACTGCACTAAAGGCACTGCTTTCACGCTTCTTTATGAAATTTTATTAAGAATGTTTTTTGGCTGAAAATTTTTGTTACAACCAGATAACATCCATTACATGTTACTACCATGAAGACATTTTTCATTTTGTCTCATTTTTCTGGAATCTTCTAGAATTGTGGTTCTGTAAATCTTGCCTTCAAATCCTTCTAAACTTTCCAAGTTTCTATGTCTAATATCTGAAAGAAAAATTAGCTCTACCAATTCTGTAATGGCAAAAAGGCAGAAATATTTTGGGGGAAAGAAAATCAGAGGGGGGAAAATGTAGAACTAATTTTATAGAGAAAACTGGTGCATATTCTGAGACAATTACACAAAGAAAAACTCAAAAGAAATTTTTAATTAATTACATAGCTATTTTGCTTTTGCCAAGAACCGTTTCAGATATTGTGCTTTATAGCATTTATTATGTTGTTTATTTTTCAGATTCAAAATATTGTATAAGTCACTAAAACAGAAAGTAATTTCACTATATAATATGAGAAGGAAAAACAAAAATGGTTTAATTTAATGTTACTTCTTAAATAGAATTTCAATATATTATCATTATTTTAATGAAATTTATCACAATTATAATGCTTAAAAAATCACTAAAAAAATTCATAGATCTCCGAATTAAAAGTTGTTTTAAAGAAGTTTACCTTAAAATCTCCAAAATGTTGATAAGTTTTCATATTTAGAACTGTCTATAAAAGAATTTACAGCTCCAAAAGCAAAAAGTTGTTTAAGAGATCTTCATCAGAAAAAATGAAATAATTTCGAAATGCTTATATTTCACTGCGTGCCCAGAAACTTGAGTATTGCATGGTTTGTATTAGAAATAGGAACAAATTATAACCCATTCAAAAGATAGCCGTATTAGTCAGTCAACAAAAATATTCCCCCAAAATCCTAATTCACACTCAAAATGACAGTAGTATAAACAGGCAGAAATTTCAGATGATTAAAAAGAAGGATTTTCTGCTGATTTTTGCTGAATTTAAGGGCCGTGCAAACCCTGGTTCTCATAAAAATGTTTTCATCTTAATCTAATGTGAAAAACATTCTGAGTGGAAGTCTCCATACATATATACAGTCAAAAGTCATTAATCCGGACTCGTCGGGACTTCGGCGATTTCGGATTATCGGTTTTTCCGGATTATAGATCATGAGTTTAAATCTGGTAAGACGGCATGCAGAAATTATGAAATTAAAAATATAAAACCGTAATTTATGAAATAAAGAGCAATTATGATCTAAACAGTATCAAAATTTACCAAAAAAAGCTTAATATTTATTTGTTTACTTTATTAAACATTTCTTTCAACGCACGCATGCGTAAAGCATACATTACGCATAGTCGAAATTAGAAAATTACAACCATAAGACTATTTGATTTGTATTCGTGATATTTATGATGACGAGGAATTTGATTTAAATCATATCAAAGACGGAGTACAACGAGATGAAATACTACATTATAAGCCGAATAAAATAAAAACATCTGCCCTGAAGACAAGGTTAGTGCTCGCAGATCAACTTCCAGTTTATTGCACAATGTGACGTACCCCCCCCCCAGCGCAGAGCAGCGTGAAATTGATAAACAGATTTCGCAATGGTTAGAGAAACAAAGGAGCCTTTATCCATTTTTTGAAGCAATTCCACTTTTTGTTTCATGGACATCGAAACATGCTTTCTCTTTGTAGATCCAACATCGGAAATTCTATTTGACGTAATCGAAAGTTCCAACTTACTTTTATAAAATTGCTCTAACAGTCTGCAAAAAAATAATAAGCTGGTTCCAATTCGAAGATTAAGGGACAATGCAATCTGCAACATTAACTGAAATAGATAATTAGATAATTTTAGCTTAGCTTATACCGTCGATTATACATTAAATGCGCATGTGTTAACGTATTACGCGCATGCGTACATGCATATGCACATGCGTAAAGGTATTATGCGCATGCGTTAACACATAATGCGTTGGCGCATGCGCAGAAAGTTTGTAGCTTTGAGGTCCGGACTAACGACTTTTGACTGTATATACCAAATGTTATACGAGTGCAATGGGTAAATTGGCGTCTTTGTAATATTAAACTATCCAATAATATTATAGCTTATAGGTTAATTACACAATACAAAAAAATATCTTCCTGAAAATCACACATGCTACAACAATCTTTTTTCTAACTAAAAAGAGTGCAATCATTTTGAGTCACATTTTTTCAGATAACAAGGAAATGCTTTCAATAATCGAGGATATTTTTACTAATAGGAACAATAAAATATAAATACCAGAAACAAATCAAATATGAATTTCAATAATAGGAATAAATAAATGTTTTTAATAACAGAAATAAATACAACATTATTCAAGTAAATGTATCTACTACAATAAATTTACATGTCTATATCTAGTTATAAAAATTTTTCCATTGGCAATTATTTTTTTTAAACTGCTGAAGCTCATATCGACGTTGGAAGATTAATAATATTCTTTGTAACATGTGTACAGGTATCCCATGCTTTATAAAAATACAGCATTTTCTAAAACTTTTCACATGGTACAAATATCAAAGATGCAGTTATTGTGAGCTTACATAGGAAAACGTTTCTATCTCAAAAACAACTAGACATACACACAAAGTAATATGAGACATCTAAACTGACACTAAAAACAAGAATATTGTATTAAATAAATTGGATTGGTACATTTAAGACGGCCAAAACACAAATGACCAAAATCTTAATAAAAAGTACATGCCAATCATAGTAGTTGCCTTAGGCATTCAGGCATTTCTGTCAATGCGTCAAAATGTGAATCCAAGGCCTAAATAACGCTCATGGCTGTAATCTCAGTAATTTCACAACTACCTTACAAATATCGTTGTGATTTTCAAACCTTCATATTAAAAGAAAGTTGCCAAGGAGGCAAAAAAGATCAAAATCTTTTTGAATAGTCCGATAAATACAGCTGGTGCAGAAGAGTTCAACCAACTTATGTATGCAACACAAGGACATCAAATCTGTTCACAAATGCTGCCTGTTTCAGGGCAGTTGCTAATATTTTTTGCCCAGTCTGGGTTAATAACTATCTATAATGAAGACATTATTTTACCTAGGAAGACACTGTTAATGATGCTACTACTAAAGCAACAGCATATCTTGACAGGTGGTTTTGGGAAGTGCCCAAAATGCTCATCTGAATCTAACGATTGGTAAATCCACATATCAGATGCAACAGTTTAACTCTGGTAACAGTTTGATACAGAAGCTTCCAAATATTTTTCAACATGAGAAAAATGATTACGACATGCTTTGTTCATAAAATTATGATCACAGGAGACCACAGATTGAAATTATTCATCTATTCTATTGCAACAAGATGCTGAAGCATGGTGAAATGGTTGTCATTTAAGCTCTTTCTCATTGGGATTAGCTTCCATAATCTGCCTCATAGAAATATCAGATAAGATTGTAATTTATATTAGTTTAGTACGTCTTTTAATAGTAAATCACTTGTAAAAAAACCTCGAAAGCCAAACTATGAATGGTGTGTTTGCAAGCTGTATGTGATCCAAATGTTGTATCAATATTATCAGCTTTAGAACTGGCAGAGTGATCCAATTTCAGATCGCGAGGAAAAGTCACATTCAGTTATGCACAGTCCATTGTTCCAGCCATTTATATACCTTTGAAACAAATTATCCTAATACCATTTTTGCACAAATGCTGCTGAAAATTAATCAATTCTAGACAAAAAGAAAGAAATTTAGAACCAAATCCACAAAGATATGAAAGAAATAGAATTAATAACAATGAAATCCAAATTTCCCCCAAAATATGTAAAATTCTACCAGAATTCGTCAAATCCATGGAAATATAGAGAAAGGAAATACAATATATATATATATATATTTTGTATTTCATTTACATATATATATATATATATATGCAGAGGAATTCAAATGAACCCTCTTGCCTTGGAAAATCACTGTGTTTCTGTTAATCCAAAATTAGCTGATGAACCATTCTAAATTCAAAAATTCTGAAATCCTCCTCAATGCATTAGTGGAAGACGGTTATAAATGAAGATACATTTAAGTTTGTACATAAAGATTTGTTTCTGTACTATTTCATTACGTTTGTGAATCAACTGCATAATATAATTGGAACCATACATTTCACATTACATTGTTTAAGGGTTGATACCATGGGGTTCTAAATAAAAACAATCTATGTTAAAAATAACCATAAAATTTTGTATCAAAATTTTTAAATCAAAGAAATATTTAAGTTTCATTTCAAATTGGAAAGAAGGCATCATAAGCCGAAGAATCGTATCTCCTTTAATCTAGAAAATAAACAAAATCTTACATTTTTTCTTCAGTTACAAAATTCATATAGAAAGAAATACCTGTTAGAAATATTCAATGCAACCCCTTCATCACTCTGCATATTGGAATGTGAACTTCCTATGAATTTACCTTCTACTAGTATCAACTCCACAGTTCGGTCATGGGTAGATGATATGAAGATAGACTGTTCAACATGAGCTGGACCCACGTATTGAGGTTTACGAGCTTTCATCACTCTTCGAATACCACTTAAAGAAAAATACTTGCATTATTAGCTTAAATGTTTTAATTTTCTGCATAATTTATTTGCATCTAGCCATAATCTTTCTTCGGTAGTATGTACATAAATCTTAAATTACATAAATAAATCAACTATTTTCAAACACCAAGAAAAAAAATTACAATCATTAAAATACATGAAAAAATCTAAATGAAAGTAAAAATAAAGCAATATACCCCCCCCACACACACACCCAACAAAAAAATTGAACTAAAAAGGATGATATCTAGTGCAAAGGTTTTTGAAAACATATGCCACAAGACAAACTTGGGTAGAAAAAAAATAAAGATAAAAAGCTAACAAATGCAATGCACTGAAATGCCTCGAGCCTCCACTATGCTGGCAATAAAGAAAAAGTTCAAATTGTAAATATAAATATGTGCATGTATTTTTGTGTGCTTGCAATGAAATCTCATTCACGTCTGAATTTAGAACTGAAATTCTAAAACTGAATTTCTGTTCATATCAATAGCAAAATTATTTATAAAGAATAGAAAACAAGAGAGAAATAAAAATGAAAGATTATTTGCTATCTTTTGCTATTGATATGAATTTCTGTTCATATATCAATCGCAAAAGATAGCAAAATTATTTATAAAGAATAAAAAACAAAACAGAAATAAAAAGAAAAATTATAAAATTGAATCTACATGATCACAAAATTGTAAAACAATTCTTTTGATATCACATGCAATAACCTACAAGGTGCAGCCATTAATATCCAGGAGTGATCTAATAACTCCAGCAAATATTATATGAAACATATAACCATTTAATAGCTTTATAAGTAACCCCCACCTGACTTAATGCACTTCTGTACTCAGCTGCGTAAATTTCGGAAACTTCTTTCAGCATGCTCTTTTAATGTGGATGCCATTGTTTTGATAGTTTCAACGTCCTCAAATCTTGTTCTCTTCACCAAATTTTTCAGTTTTGGAAATAAGAAAAAGTCTGCCAATGTTGAATCCAGAGGGTATGGAGGATGCTATATCTCTATGACCTCATGATGGGCGGAACACTGTCGTGCAAAACCAGCCGACTCCCATTCTGTTGAAAACAAGGCCCTACTCTGCAAACTCTTTGTCAATGTCTGGGAAGAGCTGTGTAAAACTGTCCAGTAACAGTCTTGTTGAAAAAACAAATTCCTGATGAAATATCCTTCGCTATCGAAGAAAGCAATTAACATTACCTTGATTTTGGACTTTGGGAATCAAAACATTATTGGTCTTGGCGAGCTTAGAGACCACCAAGTTTCGAGTCCCTGGACTTTTTGAAAAATATGTTTTCTCTGACTCTAAAGGAATTTTCAGCTAAATGTAAGCCTTTAACTGGGAGATTGCATTAGTAATTGTAATAATTTTTAAAAGGATTGAGACCTGACTATGAATAATTCAACAAACACATTTAATGGCTGCACAGACTATGGATAATTCACAATTCAAATTACAGTACAGATACATAAATGATATTTAACAATTTAAAGCAATTTATAATTTTCCCAGTAAAAATGTATTATGTAATTTTATATGAAAAACAAATTACAGTAAATCCTTAAATCACGAATGCCTCTCTTCACAAACAAATTATCTAAACAAACAAGCAAACAAAAAACATGCCTCGGATCATTAACGATGTCTCAAGTTACGAGTACTCAAGCCAGCAAAGTATGATTTTTAAATTTATTTTGAGAAAAACCACCTATAATTAATGCTCAAAGACAGCCGGAAACATTGTAATATTTTCCACTGCTTAATTTTTATTAAAGCATGGTAGCAAATAATTTGTAGTACTTTGAACAAAATTATGAACAGATTGATTTACAGGCCTTGAGCACTATGACACTTGGGACTTTTTGTTACCTCTGGGTCTAGAGAACCATAAAAAGGAGCTCAATAAGAAAAAACTACAACTTCAAAGACAGCATCAAAAGGCAATTGGAGGAAAAATGTCTTCCCCCCCCCAAAAAAAAAGAAAGAAAGAAAAGGGTTCTTAGTCTTCAAATGCAAAATGGAGTAAGATGCAAAATTTTCATGTAAGACCTTGATAAAGTAGTATCAAACTACAGCACAAATATTTGCAATTGCAATGTTACGTTTTGATTTAGAAACATTTTTAAACGCAGGCAGTGACAAATCACAAGGGACAAATTTTCATTCAATTTTTTTAAACATAGACTCGGTCTTCAGCAGCATCGAACAGCCCTTCGAGGAAAAGCAAAGATAAAAGAAGATGCTTCCTAAATTCATTGACCTGAATATTTTATGGGAGAAAATTTTGCTTCTATACAAAAATACCTTTCTCCTTTTCCACTTACATAACCCACTCGGCTTTGCACATACGAAATTAAAGCCAGTTCTCATCTATTTTTCTGTTTAATATTATGTCTTTTTTCTTTTAAATATATTTAACGGTTTCCATTGGTTTTAAGTTTTGAGCTAGTGCTGAAAGTACTATCGTAAAACTTGAATAAATAATAATCCAGGAATGAATTAATCCATTTTTAATTAATTCCTTTGAAGAAATTTTTTTTTCAAATAACGAACATTTCAGTTCACAAAAAAACTTTTAGAAACAAATTAAATTAGTGAACTGTAGTTTTAGCGTAATTCAGAGCTATTTTTACTTTTTGTACATTAACAAGCACTTTTGGATCTTAACCAATATTAGCATGCATTTTTTTTTTCACTTTTAGCACTATTTATATTTTGAAAATCTTAATAGGTATTACTAAAACTTAAATAGTGATTTTGAAAGCATATTTCTGAAATTGCTCAACACAGCAAACACAGGCGGGGAGTCTTAATTACACAATCGTTTGACATGATGCCGTATGTTAGTGGCAGTAAATCAAATCATACTATTTTCAAGGTTATGCATCTAAATATCTAGTTTAGACATGAAAAATTCAGAAAAAACACTTACGATTCTGTTACGTGTTGGGAAAGTATTTCTATGACTTCGACAGAACTGAAGTGAATGACAAAAATGTAAGGACACCGATATGCTAAAATTAAGAAGAAAAATTTCAGCACACAATTTTCTCAACTAACATGGAAAAAGTGTTAAAGGGGAAACAAATCTAAAAAAAACACAGGAACTTGTTTTTTACCAAATGATAATGGCAGTTTCCACTTCAAGTCTCCGGGCCTCGTTCTTTGCCCTAACTCATTTACAAAAACTCCCATTTCTGTAAAATAATAATGCAATGTTTTACTAAAAGTAACATTTTACATAAATTTCGCTTAATTACTATTCAGTTTCTCACGATTTATTGAATAAAATAATTTTTATTTTCTAATTTGCATTTCTGCTTAGGTGATAATGCAGTTTTTATAGTAATATTTACCATTGAAGCAAAGCAGATATTCCTCGGGGTCATCAGGATGAGCAATTTGAAATATAGCAATGGGGAAACTACGAAACTGAGAAGCTCCATATACTAGACCAGCCAAACTTGCATCTTTACTATCAAGAAACCCTAAAAAATATGTATTGTTAATATGTGCAAACATATCTTTAGAAAATTATAAATATTTTGTTTATAAAATACTTTTCACCGAAACCTTCAATAACAGAAATGCATTAAAGAATAAATTATATACTTCTGAACAAAATATTTACAAATACAAACTTGGAGGTAATATTTTATTGCAAAAATTCAGCCAAAAGTGAAAACTTATAAAACTAAATTTAAATGTCAGCACATAAACAGCTACATAATGTTCATGGGTGCAAGTCCAATGCAGAACACAGAAAAATAAAATTTTGATATAAGCGTGTTTCAAGTTTTCCTCCTTGGTTTTGAAATGTGGGAATCGCACACTTAATGAAGGGATTAAGGAGAAAGTATTACTAAATAGTTTCATGGAAGTTCTTTTAATAATTATATAACATTATGAAATTAACATTACTTAAAAATATTTTTTTAAAAACACATTATTTTGAACTATATAGAAAGTTTATGAAAAGCAATAATGTAAAACATTTAGGTATAAGAAATTAAGTTTTAGAGATACAAATTTGCATTTCTCCCATTCATGATTGCACTGAGCTAAAAAGGCTAACTATATAAGGTGTGCAGAAGGATTCCTCCCCGAGGAGACGAACAAAAAACTGTCTTCCCGATTCTGAGCGTCCTGAAGTTTAACCTCCCTGCTACGCCTATCTGATGATGTTTGGCGATGTGGAGCGATTCTCTCAAGCGTGGTCCAGAAATATGATGCAAGGAGTCTTACTAAGGAACAGTTCATTGGAAATAAGAATCTACACAAGCATTCTGAATTATCTATCTACATCGGGAGTCCAGGTCTCTGTCTACCAAGTCCAGCAGTAAGTTGAACATCGGTAGTGTTTTTTCCCACCCCAAAATTTTTCTTCTTTCCTAGGTTTTTTCTGAAAGTATATGTATCTGATGAAGAAAACAAATGCAAATATACAAATAGAGAAATTGGATAACAGTAATTTTGAAATATGGTGTTTTCAAGTGAAAATGGTTTTAATCCGGTCAGAGCTTTGGGATGTCATGAGTGGGCAATTAGTCAAGCCAGAAACATCCGAAAGTAACTTAGCCGAAGTTGACAAGTGGGTTTTGAAAGATCAAAAAACTTTAGCAATTATTGCTCTGAGCCTAAAATCATCTGAGATAGTACACATTGAAAAATGTCAATCCTCTTACGAAGCATGGATGAAATTACACAAAATTCATCAGCCTAAAGGCCCTATTATTAAAGTTAGTCTCATGAAGCAGCTTATCTCAAAAAGGATGAACGTGAACGAAAACACGCAGGAGTATTTAACTTCATTCTTTGAAATTGTAGATAAATTAGCAGAAATAGGAACTGAAATTCATGAAGAATTTCTTACAGTTTTGCTATTATGTAGCCTAACTGAAGAATTTGTAAGTTTTAGAATCGCGATAAATTGCCAGACTTAAAAACACTTAAAGTTATTAGAAGAAGCTAAAAGTCGCCAATTTAAGGTGAAAGAAAACAGCCACGCTCAGGATGTGTTAGTTACAAAATATCACGGCAACGCAAAAAAGACTAAGAAAGCAAAAACCTTCAAATGTTATAATTGTAACAGAAAAGGCCACAAAGCATCGGAACACAGGCAAACCAAAAACAAAAATCCTAATCAAGAATCCCCTAAAGTAAATTCTCTCACTATTGTGAATACAACACGAGAATTAGGAGCACATAAATGGTATCTTAATTCGGGAGCAATTGCACACGTGTGCAATGACAAAAGTATATTTACATCAATAACTGAGACAAAAAGTGAAGTTCAGTTAGCAAATAATGAGTTTTTATAGGTTAAAGGGAAAGGCAAAGTTGAAATTTATACAAGTGTTAGTTCACAAAGCCTAATACTTAATGATGAACTTAACTTCAGTTAAGTTCAACCTAAAAATGAACTTAATTTTAGTTAAATTAGCAACTCAACGTAAATGAACTGTTTACTTTAGAAATAATCATGCATGGATTAAAGACAAAAATAAATGCGTAATTTTACATGCAATGAAGCAAAATTGTTTATATGTTGTAAGTCAACAGGATGTAATTGAGGTTTCAAATGCGGCAAAGGGTAACATAAATAATTCAAACAGTAAACTGAAATTATGGCCCGAGATGTGGGGGGTAATGTTACCCGCGTCCGTGATTATCCTTAAGTCACACGTGCCCCCTGGGTGGTGCTTAATGGGTAACTGTCACAAAGTCCTGTGGTTTAGTGGGATGAGGTTCAGTCTGATGATGAGTAATCTTATGACGACCCAACGAACCACTCTTCCCTGGGAAAACCGACGATTGTGGGGAGGATTTGAAATTCCGAGGACCTTTGATCTGGAGAGGAGGGGTCTTGGAGGAAGCAGCCATGTAGAGGATAGAGGAGAAAAGCTGAGTTTTGCGTCTCAGGCCGCCAGATAGTACAGGAGCCCGGGGCAGACCTAACCAGCATGTCCTAGCTGCTCTATCAGCTGGTGTCATAATCTCGCCTGCCTTGTAGTTCCAGGTGGTGCCTGGGTGGGGTCCTGCATGGCAGAGCGGGGGGGCTCTTCCGAGGTCACTGCTGGCTGCTGAATCCGGGGCTAGCCCCTCCCCCCAAACTGGCTCTTAGAAAATCGGAAGGAATTTTTCTCCCCCTTCTTTCAATCAAATACCAAAATGGATGTTAGCAATATAGAATCAGATAAAAATGCATCCTCTGAAACCCCCACTTTAACCACTGTAGCTCCTTCTGAAGGGAGTGAATGCGCCCTCTTGGGTGCAGGACGCTCTTCTCTTTAGGACTACAGAAACCAGAACCGCTGGTGAAGGGGTGAATGTGCCTTTGGACACGGACGCCCTTGAACCCAGTGGGGATGGATACTGACTCCTCTGTCAGAACTGTGCTGTGCCAGATGCGCAAGCGGATGACCAGTCACCAATGACGGAGGTTGTAAATAAAAGAAAAGAAAAGAGACAATGCCAAAAGCCAGCGGAAATGGATGGAGAGGGGCCATGGAAGGGATCTCGATCTCCGGGGAGAAGGGAACGAGGGAGAAAACAGATAAAGCTGGACCTCTGGAGCAACCTCCAAACTGGTGAAAGGAGAGCCATCCAAGCAATGAAGATTCTCGTAAGAGAGAACGCATTGCTGGTGACACCCCGGAAATGGCCCTCAAGAAACGACGGCTTTATAGTCAAGCTGCAAGAGGAAGGCAATTACTCTGCGGGTCGTCTGCAAGGATGACTCCAGAGACATAACATCAGTGGATTCAGATTTCATCACTTCTATGATTGATGACCGAATTATCGACGGCTCCATCAACCACCTGTAGGGTTCAATCAAGACAGTCCAAGTTGCAGCCGAAAAAAGCCTGAACAACTTGCATGTGAGGACCAGGAGACTGTGGATGTCCTAAAGACTTTAATTAATGATCAACCTGGCCCTGAAGAAAACCATCCCGGTTATCATGCCATGGCTCCCGGGGACAGACACACCCCCATGAAGAGGTTTTTCGCTTGGTTTCCTGGTAACAGGTCACCAAAAGATAACATCAAGCTCCTTGATGCCTGTAACAAGGGCCTGGATGTTAAGAAGATCGCCGTCAAGGCAGTTATCCCTGGAGACAGAGGTAATACCTTGGTGCTGGGAGTGAAACATGAGCTTATGGATTATCTGGAGGCTCAGAATTTCAAACTTTTTTTTTTTTTTTGTGGTGCCCATGGCTGTGTACAGCTGAAGGAACCAAGGCAAACAGGAGAAATCATTCCTCCGGCCAAGATCCTCCGAGGAAACAGTTGACGGAAGAAGGGGTGACCGAAAAGGAGTCGGAACCAGAGCTTTCTTTGGAGGCTCTGGGGAACACATCTGAATAGTTTTCCCCTGTCACTGCTTCCTTTGAAGTCGTGGGTTAAGGATACGGCTTTTAACTAAGTCTCTCTCCTAAAATCCTTCAGGGTAAGTTCTTATTCTCTCATTTAACATGTTTTAATGGTTAAGGTTTAGTCAGCTTAAACCTGCAACATAGCAGAGCAGCTTCATACAATTTAGCTTGCTCAATAGGTAAGCAAGGCACTTTTGTTGCCTTAATTCAAGAACCTTGGGTGTACAAGGGTAAAATCCTTGGTAGGCCCATGAACGCGCACTTCCTTTCGACAGACGGACCTGATAAAAGACCTAGAACTAGCATTTACATTTCTAAAAATATAAAGGCTATGAAATTATCCCAATTTACAATAGAGGACTTAACTGCTGTTTTAATTAAGGATATAAACAGTTCACTGAGAGGAAACATTTGTTTTTGCTCGGTTTACATGGCTTATGACCTTAACATTCCGCAAGAATTTATAGATCTTGTGAGTTTCTGTGAAATAAACAATATTCCTATGGTTATTGGTGGTGATGTTAACGCTCACCACCTACCATGGGGCAGTTCTGATACTAATCCTAGAGGAGAAAAACTCATGGCACTTATAATGAATACCAACCTAACTTGGGTAAAAAGGGGAAATTGCCCCACCTTTGTCAACAGAAGAAGAGAAGTCATTGACCTCACATTAACTTCTTCTGATATTTATAACCTTATTGAGAATTGGCATGTAAGTGACAATCCCTCACTTTCAGACCATCGCCTTATACAATTTTGTATTAGAGATGAAATTCCAGCTGAATATTTCAGAAACATTAAAAACACAAATTGGGACCTTTATAAGGACTCCCTGGTCTCTAATGTCATTAACCTTCAGGTTTTAGACAATAATTGTACAGTCGAGGAGCTTGATACTCAAGCAAACAATCTGACAAATATCATTATTGAATCCTATCATGCATCATGCCTTCTCAAACAAAGGAAAGTACCCTCCTTCTAGCAAGAGTCTGGTGGACCAATGGAGCTTGAAAGCCTCCACCTAGAGGTTTAGAGAGCTCATAGGAAAGCAGTCAGAAATAACTCTGAAGTTAACTGGTCTAACTTTAAAATTCCTATAAAGGAAATTT